CTAACCTGAAGGAAGACAATGAGCTTCCCAATATCCTGTAATTGCACATGTTCCAATATTAGGCTAACAAAGTATCATGTGGGCACAAACATTGCTCATCTCAATTGTTTTAATTTTACTGAAAGAAGGACATTACCATCTGTCATTTTGCACAGCTTGCTATGGGGCTTTCTCCTCCAAAGCTGTGGTCACCTTACTCAATGTAAGGAACAGTAAGTCTCCTTAAAATTACACAGTAAATATATATATATATATCACATATATTAATAAAAGTGTTTCAAGAGAGTTGAAACGAAGATTTACTAGCAGAAGGATGACCCTAGTTCTACAACAGAGGAGGAAATAGTTTCCTTATCTCTGATAAACTTTTTCCATTTCAAAAGACATCTGTTCTGCCCTGACCAAAAAAATCCAAGGAAACCTATTCTGCTTCAGTGATTTCCGACACCTATCCCATTCCATGGCTGCGGAAGCCACCAGCATTTCCACAGCCACTTCCAGCAAGCCACAGCTACGTCTGTGTGATCCATCCAAGAGATGGATCCATCCATCCATCCATCCATCCATCCATCCATCCATCCATCCATCCATCCAAGATCCATCCATCCATCCAAGAAATGCCAAGAGGCCCCAGTAGAAGAAGAGGGAGCGAATCCGTACACAAATTATGTCAGACTGAAGCCTGTCAGTCCCGGGCAGAGCGGATACAACTAAAACAGCTATGACTTATTTAGAAAACCAAGCACAATCAGTCTCAAGCTCTGATTGCATCCACCTCTGATTTCRGTTACTGACTGCATTCAGACATCTGGCAACTACGCCACTGTTTTAAAAAGTATTTTTCCATCATGGCACTGATCACTGACAACCAATTCAGCAGTGCACCATAATGCAAGGCCACAGCCTTATCAAACTGAAAAAAATGCAACTCTGGACATGTCTTGGCATTCATTCTTGTTTATTTGCAGGTGTCCAGGTGGACAGATACGGGCACCCTAAAATAACCCTGATGTGTCATGGCTGGAATTTCCTGGCAAAATTCTTCAGTCGTGAGTAACCTACACCACCTCAGGCTCTACGTCGTTARTCTTCCTTTGTAAGCCTTTTAACAGCTTTAGCTCAACCACTAAACCTGCTTCAATGAGCAAATCGTCTGTCTTGTTAATAAGACTACTGATTAGAAAAAGTAGTGCTCTATAAATTAACAAAACTGTTTTTAAATAACTGTTGTCTTTCTGAAAACACACCTACACTTCTATGGTACAATACTAAACTCAAATTAGCTAACACACAGAATCAATACACTAAAGCAGCATGTACTTTTATACAGCATGTAACCCTTATTAATCCATAAAGAGATTATGAGGTGGATGTAGRAAACACTTCTATCCCTGTTCATGCATTGTCATATTCAGACAGCTCCACTCTAAAATATAATTTATTTAGTTGAATAATGAATTCACATTCTTTAGCTGATCTGAACAAATTTGAAAGTCTTGACTTTCCTTTGAACGTCAGTGTCAACTTTCAAAAATTTTACTCAACTACTCTGACTRTACAAACATCAATATAACCTAAAGAATATTTTCCCTCAATTATACTTGATTATTTTTCAATTTTGCTAAAATAAGAGTAACATTATAAACAGATCATTTAAATMATTTGAAACAGAAACAGTACCAAGTCTATTATAAAGACATAAAGACATTACTTATTTGAGTCTGCTGAAAAGAAGTTTCAAAAAACTGTTGAGTGCCAAAATGCCTCAAATGCAACTCAAATGAGTTCAAATGAGCAAAAAAATAAAAAGCTATGACAAATAGTTTCCAATGTCTGAACATAATTTACTTGCTATAAGCGACACTAACAGTAAGCAACTTCTTGAAAAAATAGACTCATTTTACAGCTGAGTATTTCAATAAAGATCCTATGTTCTATCAAAGCAATTCTTTTAACATATTTGTTTTATTAAGAAATGTAATATTTAAACAACACAAAAAAACAAATATCCATTTTTATATTTTTCTAGGTTCATGAGCATGATTTGCTTGTAAAAGAGCAACTGTCAGCTTGCACAGTTAGTTTTACTCTAGCTCATATTTGGAACTAGAATTATTTCTGTGCATTTTAGATAACTGGTTCATTTTATTTATCAGAGTGATTTTTATGTTGGAGGAATGAGCTAGGACAGAGAAGAAACTGACTTAGCARTTTAGAAGCTTCTTTATTACTGTTTACTTTCTGCTCATTTGCAAAACAGAAGCTTTAGGAAACCTAACACATATATGATGTGCAGTGCCTCAATAAAGAACAAGAACAAGCTTGTAGACTACTCTCCTCTACTACTGCAGTTGGAGCATTTTGCAAACATTATATTCATCAGAGAGGAATTTGGCATTTTGTGCTACAGAAAACAATCTCATCTTCCAGGACACTAGTCTAACACATAACAATCTTGTAGTTATAGGAAGAATTTAGCAGTTCCCATAAAATAGAGCTGGTACACAGAACTTTAAAAAAAAAAAAAGTTTTCTGAACTTACAATTTATCACAGTGTTAAATTTGTAGAGAAAYGACAGAGTATCAGAATTCTGAAATAAAAGGAATATGGTCTAATACAAATGTATTCATGAACAAAATCATCTTATGCCCAAATYTTATACCCTCCAGAACAGATACGGACCAAAGGAATCCCTTCTCTCTGTCACCATACTTCMAAAGTGAGCTACTTCCTCTAGTGACCTACCCAGCTGCCGCATATTTTCCCCTCTTCCAGACCATCTGCTTTTTCTGGTGAAGAAATAATTATATTTCACCTCTCTCTGAACAGACCAGTGCCCCAGACCAATCTGCACTTCACCTGCCTCTGTGGGCTGCCAATCCCAGTCCAGCACACGGCTTTGTGAAGCACGTCCAGGAATTTTACCTGCCCTGGGACCTCTGGCATACAGGCAGCTCAGGCTCTGTCATTACCCCCACAGCATTAACCCCTGCTCTGAGAGCCAAGTTCTATCCTCAGGTGCAGATTAAGGTGGCCATCTTCATGATGGGAATGCTACTGCAAGACTAGACCCCCATACTACACTACAATGACAAAGAGAAAGAAGGGTCATTTCTCCAAGCAGCTTCACACCTCACTCACTGTACAGAAGAAGAACAGGCAAAGTTCACTGGGTGTCAGAGCCCTCAGCGAGGCCAACAGCTCATCCTTCCTCAGAGGAAGACACAAGAACCGGCAAAGCCCAATCATAACATGCTTGTGTTTGCTGCTAGCAATCRGAAAAAGGCATAAGGCTACCCCAGCCTAGAAACAGCATCCTCAGAAACATAGCAGGCACCAACAGAGGAAGAGGAAATTCAATTTTCCTGGTATTTTGAGTGAAACATCATGTACTTATATTAGAAGCAAGTACATTTAGAATTTTCTCTCCTCCTTCCAGCTTTTCCTTCTTTCCAAGTATTCTTGGAAGAGAGCAAATTTGGCTTCCACCCACAAGTGCCAKCCCATCTTGGCCATGCTAGAAACTGCAGCTTTAGCTGCAGGATGGCGAGAGAGCCTCTAGGCCCGGGTGCTGCACTGCCCCCCGCAAGACCGCTGCCCTTTCAGTGAATGCTGCSTCGATGGCAAGGCTCACCCAGCTCACCTGCCTCACATCATTCTTCTGACATCTCAAATGAGCACAAGACACAGGGCCACAGGCCTGTGACAGCAAATTGCTGTTGYTTCTGCAGCCCGGGGAGCCCACGCAGCAGCGGCCCTGGCAGCAGTGCAGCCCCCTCAGCAGGGAGTGCCTGGAGGCGCCACGCTCAGCGATGTCCTCTTTGATGACTGTTCCTCTGAAACCTTGACTGGAAGTCTCTCCAGACTGGGCTCATCAGAGCCCGGGCTGCCCAGACCTCAGGTGCCAYGATGGTTACGTTGCTCCTGCTACACTGAAGACATTTATCTCTTGAAAAAATGCTGGCGATTGCCAAGTACTGTACTTTGCAAAGGGGAGATAAAGAAAAGCTGAGCGCTCCTTTCCATTCTTAGAGCTGCTTTGTGCCCCACGCAGCTGCAGAGCTGACACCGCATTACCCTTTGCGATGACCACAGCAAGCAGCAAAAACACCCCTGCATTTTGGGAGTGTAAATCCCAGCATTCCCCCCCTTGCATATCCCGTGGAATCTGTAATCCTCCTTCAAAATCCTGAAACACAATTAGAAACCATTCGTGGCTAAAAATCTTCTTTACATAAGCTCCTAAACTTTTAATTGTGCTTTGCTGATATGGTTTAAAGATGTATGGAAATTCTGCCAGATGTCCATGGCTGGTGGATCAGCTGAGGAACAATTCAATCTCAGGGATTTGCGCCCGGCTAATTACTCTCCTCCCTTGTGTGTACCTACTGATACAATTACATATTTAACTACACAAGGCTAGACCTTATATGCTGCTGAACAGACCAGTGCAAAGCTCCACAATAAGATTTCATCTTTCTCTTTTAGTTTGTACAGTCCTATTTCAGTAGCAATGAGCTCACAGRTGAGCTGGAAACTAATTCTTTTCTAAAGCACAGATATTATTCTATTGCCCAGTAATTAAAAAACGAGGGAGATTTTATATATACAATAAGATACAAGAGGACTAGGCAAGATTTTTGTTCTTTCTTGCGGTTATTGCTCTGGGAAGCTTTAGCTGAATAGGCAAAGAGAATATAATTTTTTACCAGGAGAACAAAATTAGGATGCACTGTGCTATAAGCAGAGTACTCATGTTTTAGTGCATTTTCAATCCAGTACTAACATTTCAATAAGGGCTTCCAGAAGCAATAAACAGAATGCTACTTTCCTCAAGGTAAGATTCGTTTGAAAATACATTTTTTTAGAAGATGCTAAATTCTCTATGCAGACCATTTTTTTTAATCAACACAGAAAAACCGCAGACTCTTTCTTGCAAATAAACCATCAGAAAAGTATTTAAAAAAAAAAAATGAAGTACTGTAAGCCCTCGTATACTTTATACATTATTTAAATACATCTTTAAAAAGAGAAACATTTTGTTATAATTGGTGGACAACAGCGTTGTAGAAAATATGTAGCAATCATCTGCTATTTCATATGSTATGCGATACTACTACTGTTAGTAACTGATGGTTAACGTCAACATAATGATTATTTAAATGTGTTTAAAAATGCTGAACTTAATACATTCCAGTGAAATGTAAATGACAAAACAGAACAACTACAGCCCCATGACTAATGTGTCCTGGATTTTGACCACCAGCTTTGCTATTTCAATTTTCTGACCTAGATCTCCCTCCCCTACCAGAAGCAAAGGTAAAAAAAAAGAAAAAAGCTCAAACAATAAATGTCTTACTTGTTCTGTCTTCTCCGGTTGTTTTCTATCCGCCTGCAAAAATTGACAGTTTTCTCTTGCCAGCTTCTGGACTAGCTCAATGCGTCCGATGTCATCTCTTTCCTGAAGCTTGCACAAAACTCCTGCCTTTAGGGTGGGAGAAAGAGCAAATAGATACTTAAATCCACAATCCCAGGACATGACACCACCACAAGTTTCAACCTTAAAAGAAACGCATCTGTTTCATCATATTTGCTGTAATTCGGTGCTGCTTGCTGACCACAAATAAATCGCTGCTTGCCCCAGAACAGCTCAAGAAGAGCTCAGGCACATTTGAATCTCCAAATGTATCTACTTTGGAGGAAAGAAGGCAGGACTAACTAAATCAACTGCTACTGTGTGACTGACTGATATGCCTGTATTCTGTTTGTTCCTGTCAACCTATTTCCTGTTACATAAGAGAACAAGACCAAGAGGTTAAAAACTCATGGGAAAGTTAGCCGGGAACAGCCCTGGAAAAAAGAATGAAGTGCAACACAGTCACTCCTAAAAATAACATTCCAAAACTCCCATTGCTGCGGAGCCAACACTTTTTCACGTATGCCAGCAGCAAGAGATAAAAGAAAGTTTCACCACGTTTATGTATTCTATGAATAAGAAATTAATATTATCTAATTTTTGCTAGATTTGCTTTAAAACTATTTTTTAAATATTTTAATAAATGTAAATGAGCTATTGAGAGCTAACAGGTCTAAAATAGGTTGGAATATTTTTTATAACTAATACACTGCTGTTGTCAGTGTTTTGTTGTAACCTTCAACTCTGGTATCTTATAAAAATTACATGTATGTAAAGACACATTCATGCTCACACACAGACAGGTCCATCCTTCAGCATGTTAGCTGACAAGGACTAAATTGCTCACTGCAAAATCCAAGGATAATATCACTGTCCACGATTTTATCACGGATGCAGCCTTTGCGTAACTGAGACTTTGCTTGACACTGAGTGGCCTTTATTAGCCCAGATGTTTCCTGATGGGAATGGCATCTGTCCTGGGAGGGCCAGGGATGGGGTGCGGCTCTCATTGCCAAATTACGTGAAGGGCAATCTGCAAATAAACCTTCTTCCTCACTTTCTCCACCCTTTTCTTTTTTCCTGCTCATCCTGAGTTTTACTCGATGAGTATTTACTCTAAGATCCACAAACCCTGTTGGAAGKCAGGACCAAAAGCCATGAGTGTCCTGACCACTGCAGTCAGGTTGGTTCTTGCAACTCATTCCATTCCCTTTGACTTTCAGCATCTCCTTCTGCAACAGCTAGAGACTGGAGGGTGCCCATCCAGGCTATCCTACAGTCTGGTATTTTCTCCAGGGAAGTGAAAAGTGCTGTGCTTTGCATTTCCTACACCAAGTCCCCAATCTTCTAAGGCACCCAACTTTTCCATATGCTGCCTAAGAAACATAAACACTGTYTTAAGGGTAAGAAATCCATGATCAAGTAAGGAATAGCAGCACCTTATTTGAAGATCCTTACACTTTCTATAAGATCAGCACTTTCCATCTCTAGGACAGGGTTTGTAAACCACGGCAGCAGCACTATCACCTACAGACCAGTGGGAGATCAGTCTTACTAAATTTGGAGAACTGCAGTGAATTAGTTGTCAAGAACCTCTTGAAATCAAAAGTAAAAAGAGGTACTAAGTGAAAAAATATTTTTCCCTTTACAATAGACATTCAAAAAATGGTCAAATAAATTGTTTCCTAAAACTTTTATTTTTCTCCAGTAATTTACATAGGGAGTCTAGGAACTATCATAGACTTGGCTGAGGACAGATGTTTGCAATACTATGATTGCTTGGGGACATAAGCTAGAGGCAAGTCTGCCTTTTCCATGGTTTAGTGATGCTGCCAGCGGAGAGATCAACATCTGTGCTTTGTTATCCCCACAGGCATCACAGATAAGAGCGTTCAAATTGCTGTGACTTGTTAGGGTTTTGGGACCATAAAGATTTAGACCCCAAATATTGTGAATTTCTGCCTACTTTAGGGGCCCTTTTCACCTAGACTGAGCAACTACCTTCAGTGGACTCAGGTGGAAGCAATCTTCTGGGGAAGGATGGCTTTTCAAACATACAATCTCCCTATTTCACTGTGTGTTAGGAGGGAACGTATTACAGTTTTCTACATGGCTGAGCTCCCCAGGGAACAAACAGCTCCTGACACAATCCCATTATCCCAACAACAAAAAAAAAGGTCTTCATTCAACTCAGCACTTGTATTAGAGAATCGCATTGCCCTGTTTCAAATAATCACCAAGAAGAAATCTTACTTTTTAACACCCCTCTTCCCCCATCTATTGCAGAGAACATTTAAAAAATGTATTTTGTGGGACTTCTGGAAGATAGAAGGTCAACTAAAAATCTCCTGGGAAAGCTAGGCTATTATCAAGTTAAATGTACAGGCTTTTTAAAACTTGCCTCTGGGAATACATAATGCACTTAAAATACTAGAGGCTAAATACTCTTTTTCAAAACTAAAACAAAAAAAGTGAGTTCTTTACATGTAATTCTGATTTCATCACTTATGCTGGCTTTCCCATTATACATCTTTCTGCCAAGTAAAGTAAGAAACTAACCAGTTCAGCTAATTAATTAACTGCTGACAGCCAYGAAAAGCTGTTTGGGAAGATGTGGTTGGAGTTTCATATCACTGGCCATTTTCACTTGTCAATAAATTTAGCTCTCAAGCAATGCCTTTAAAGCTCTTAAGACAAGGGTGAATGAGAAGCCTCCCTACCTGCAAGGGGCAATTAGCATTTATATGTTGCACTGGCACACACTGTCCAAAACCCTGCATGCCCAAATGTTAGTGCTTACTCCTGCAACTCAAGAATGCGGACAGAGATGCAAGTAATTACTTATCTGAAGGGTAAAATTATAAAGCCTCATATTTTATCTGGCTTTAATTTAATGAATGGTTAAAGAATGTGGAGGTTTTATAGCAAGACTTTACTGTCATTCACAGAACAAAATTACCATAATTAAAGATGTTTATGCAATATTCAAAACAGCATAAAAAGGTTTAATGGGAAGAAAAGTAAATTAATTGATTTGTAAAAACAAAAATGCTGACAACACATTTTCTGTTTCTGAACATCTACTGCAAATATTCCCTCTGGAAAGGCCATAACACTGATACATTAACATGCTGGAAGTAACACAGAAGTGAAATAAGAGATGCCTAGGCAGACGGGATAGCATCTTATTTACTGCATGTTCCTTTTAAATACCCCTGCACTGATTCTTCTCTAGATTTCCACCTTTTTTGCCACATAACACCAATATAACTTAATACTCAGTCCAACATACAGAGCAGGCTCCAAATCTTCCCCATCTGCTAATAGGACTTTTTTTTTTTTTTTTTCACTGAACCTCTACTTCCTTCTCTTTCTGCTGAAAACAATATAATTACTACAAGTTTCACCTTTGATCAACCAGAAGACTAAAAACCATATGTCACTGTCTAGAAAAATCATTTGCTTTACTCTAGTCACATGCACAGTCTCACTAAAGAAAAAAAATCATTGACACATTCAAGGCAAATTGTGTTCAGTGTTTGTACGATGTCATTTTACAGCACTGACAAACAAATTAGAGCAGCCACTTCGTTAATGCTGCTGCCCTCCTGCAGTTGCACATTTGAACACTTGTTAACTTGTTAACATTTAATCATTGTTTAATTTAAAATATGTTTCACATTCTTCCAAATTTTCGATGCTGGTTTTCTGCCAAACAAAAGATGAGCAAATCAGTATCCTGATGATAAAGTCTTATTTTTTCACTCTAATCTGCCTATATAATCTTATTCGTTTATTGCTTATTAGCTTGAAGCACACATATAATAATTTTTGTTTTTAGATTTTAATATAACTGTGAACAAGTATTTTCAAAAAAAATAACAACAGCTACAACAATCATGTAGAAGCAAGCAGATTCTAAACACAAAGAGGAAAACATAGCTGATTTTTTTTTTGATGTCAGAAATTCCCCTTGGGTCTGTAATGTACACCTAAGAGGATTAAATCTCTTTGTCACACTGCAGTGAATCGGGAATCAAAACTGGGTAACAAAATTTTAATATATTAGGACTCCTTCTACATTTTTTTAATTGATTTGTAACTACTTGGAATAATAATGATAAAAGAAAATTTTTAAAAAAGTAGAACTGCAGGCCTTTTCCAAACAACTTACTGTGAAGGGAATGCTAGAAGTACCTATTTACATCCACATGGACCCCAACTCTTCTCCCARAACTCTTGGAGCTCCCTTGCATCCCTGCTAACAAAGAGCAGACCAAAGAGCCTACACTTCTGGTCAAGTCAGTCTATCCATAGGAACACACAGGTGCTGCTACCTTGGCTGTATGCATCTGCTGGTACCCATTAGAACAGACACATTCATATACACTAATGCAAATCCTCCTCACTTACCACATTTTAGCTGTCAAGGTGTTAAAAGAGGAATCAGAGATAGGAACTCTGAGTTGTATGCACAGAGAGAAGAAAAATACTGGAAGAAACTGATTTTTCAAAATGGCAAACAGTACCAATAAAATGAGCAATACTGCTATATTTGCAGAGTTTAGGTGCATAAATGAGCTGAAGACTAATCCAAAAAGATTAGCAGAATCAAAATGGTAAGAAAATCCAGAGTAAAATACTCAAGAAAGGTACATTTCTTCTCAGCTATATCTAAAAGCATGCTTTGGTTGCAAATGGGGTCAGGAAGGGAAAGAAAAAAGTTGCTTGCACTCAAGTGACTGATAAGTATCCTCATTTCATAGCATGCCTWCTTATAGTGATTAAGATTAAATCAAAATGTCACATGTCCTTGCCTCCTAAAACATATCACATCTGGTGTATGCTATGCGTACTATCTAGAGAGAGCAGAGGTAGTTTAAAATGCTGTCCAATSTCAACATCATGGGATTAATTCCCAGAATGATCATCAATCTTATTATGAATAGCCACAGAGGACAAGATCCAGCAGACTTTCTGCTTCCTATGAGCTCCCTACTCAGGACATGGAGGAAAATCCATTTCCCAATGCTGAAGAGCCATCGAAAGCAGAATCTTCAACTCGCAGATCTGAAAAAGTCTCTGATACGCTATTAATCTTAYGCACTTACCTGAGTATCAGATGTATCCTTGAGCTCTTCTAGCCCTCTTATTTCTTGACTGCTGTTTTCTTCATTTTGATGAATTGCTTAAAGAAAGTGAGAACATATTGTAAGCAGGCAGCTTCAAATCACAAGAAAATGTAATGCAGGATGGCCCAGCCTAGGTCAAGCAGGATTACCATACAGGAAACATGGTTCCAGTTTTAGCTTTTTCATTAACTCATTAAGTGTTTTCAGACAGAAAATACCTCATTTTCAAAAACTATATCTCATTTTCCCAGGTAGTTAAAWTTTCTAAATAAATTTAGTAACTAGTTATATTCCTATTACTAATTTATTCCTGATAAAACAGTAGAATTTAGGGAAATTCCAATCGTTTCTGCTATAACAATATCTGATCACTCATACAGAGGGATAGAGCAGAAATACCTTTACTTTCATCATAAAATGAGGAAGCTGAGTTTGAACTAAGCAAAATAAGCAGATTTATCCCACACTTCAGCCTTGGAAAATTGTGTGTAAGCAAAGCGATCTCAGTCTTAACAAAGAGCATCATTTTCCATAAAAGTCATCTCCAGAAATAAATGTTAGCAGAATACAATCTTTTGAAGGTAACTTCGTACTGGGACAATAAGATAGACCAGACACTTAGCTCAGTTAACACTGTTTAATACCAATTTTGCCACAGTTGGCTCAAACACATTAACTCTGGAAGGGTCTACACCAGCATTATGAAAATATCTAACTAAAGGAAAAGGTCTATTTTGGAGGAACACATCAGACTTCTGCATTCAGAAGAGCCACTCAGACAGCACAGTATTTCTCCCTCCACTCAATATGTCTCTTTGCTGTGTTTTAAGGGGGGCAGAAAACCCTCAGGGTCCTCCAAAACATGACAGAGGAGAGGATAGATAGGCCAGATTTGATGAAAAATCTGAGAAGCAACCTTCCTTACAACTACTGTATTCAAATATTATTGATTATTTCAAATCATTAAATGATTTGAAGGGAAACTTGACCATCCGCATCTTGGCCACTTCAAGGATTGAAGCTTAGGAGCCTGCACAAAAGGACTTAACTCGTGTTCACCTCCTCTTTTGTTCACTCCAGCTTTCTCAGCAGGTCCTCAAACCATATGCAAACTGTGCTTCACAACAAATATCATCTGCTTTGCCTTCAAGCTGGGGCAGCCCAGGATTTGACTGTTGTATGGRTCAGGTGTCCATGCAGCAGGAGAAGGTCTGACCCATCTTCACTGATGTTCTCCTCCACCCTCAGCCTGATRCTCCACCTGTGCAACCGGGTTACTGTTGCCATGCTTATAGGTATCACTTGGGGCATGAAATTTCGCTTTGGGTATCTGCACACATGTTCTGAACCCATTGCAGACATGACATAAAGTCAACCTGAACTTCTGTCAGCATCCAGCAAACTTTTAAGAAATGCAACTGTAAATTGTGCTTGAGCCCTTAAATAAAGCATAGAGATTTGCTTTTCTCTGCAGCATTTCTGCTGATATGCCCTACAGAGTATACTCTTCTTCCTGTCTCTCCTTTGAAGGATGTAGTTATGCTATGAAAAAAAAAAGTAAAAACGTAATTATAAAACTTTTTWAAAAGTCAATTTGTCAGTGCAGTTTTGTGAATGCAGTGTTGTGAACGCATTCTCTGCATTAAGGGAATTTCTTAAATGCTTTATCATAACAGAACAGAAGTTTTATATAAATCTTCATTATTGGGTTTGCTGGCCTCACTTTCCCAGCCAGCCTCTGAAGTTCAAGGTGAATGCTGAAAACMCGGGGTCAATTTGTAGTTAGAACAGCAAGGATTTATAATAAGGGTTAAATCAAAGCAGCATTTAAAGCTAGAGGGAAACAAAACATGACAGTGACATGAGAAAGTATAACAACCCATCTCCCATCTAGCTAACAAAAGTACAGATTCGATGAAGCAGCAACTAGAGTTAAAACCTTTAAAAGTTGTGTGTGGCCTTAAGCGTGGTGCTGATCCGAGGTTGGGCTTTCCCTGAACAACCTGTCTCCCCCATCAGATCCTACTCTGGAGGACAGATGTGAAACAGCAGTGCTGCAATACCAGCAGGCATTAACGAATCCCATCTATCAGCTGTCTGAGCCAACAAAAATCTCTTGGGCCAGTGGCTACATTAAAGAGGGAGCAGAAAGGTAACATTTCTCCAACCCTCCGTTTCCCCGTTTCTCCTATAATTAATTTGCCCTAGCCACGGATGTCCAAAACATCCCTTCAAATGCCGGCTATTAATCACACTGCTTGGAGGCAGCATCYGGGAAGCTGGGGAGCAGGACCTCAGGCTCAAGTGCTTGATGAGGAGCCCACCAGCCTGCGCTAGGAGCCCTGGCAGGCGGGCGCTTTGCCAACAGCCATGCTGATGACCTTGCTCATGATGGAGCAACAGGCATGGCCCCTGCTCCAAGGTCCGCTTTTCCAGCCCTGCACCCATATCTGCAGCCAGAAGGGCRGCTGGGCAAGTGCCCCACATCCCAGGTGGGCTGAGGACCTTGAACAAATGCTAAGGACAAGCAACAACCACCCAGGAGAGAAACATCTTTCACTCAGCACAATGGAAAGGGAAGCTGTTGACAGACTGCAATGCTACCAGGCAGCTCAGTATGGGAAAACGTTGGCAGGAGTGGTTTTAAAACTGAGGAAGAAACCATCTYAGTTCAGACTCAGCCTAAACAAATATCTCAAGAAAAAAGAAATTAAGAAGCTGCTTTTATTAGCAATTCAACAGCTCGACACTAAAAAAAAAAAAGCCCGAAAAGTTCATAATCCAAACCCAGCTGTCCTTGGCTTCAGTGTTGTTTAGACTGTGCAAGGAATGCAGAAAAGAACCAATAAATATTTTCTTAAAGGAAAAAGAAACAGAAAAGAAAATCCCAGACCTCACACTGATGTCCTCCCAGTCCCCTTGTGGGAGACAGAGTAGAACCAGCCTTCTTTTCATGAAATTTCCATCACAAGCACCTTCATTTCCACATCCTCTCTGTCTGTTATCCAAACACAGAGGAATCGGTCACAACTTGAACTCTTTAGCTACACCCAGGGAGCAATACATAACGAGCCACACCATCAAAAACATCTTTTTCCATTACAAGAATACATTCCCTTGAAGACAGAGGTGACCACATGGAGAGATAATAATCCTTAATTACATTTTCATGGTTTTTATATGACTAGTCAATATAAAAATGAACAAATAATTTTTTTTTAAATATTCCTATGTAGTCTTGAAAATTTTGTTTATATAGGTTCTCACACACATCTTTAGGAAACAAACTGCTGTATTTCTGTACACCGTGTGCTTCCTAACCAAGGAACAACTTGCAAATATCCCCTTGGATGCTCACTCAGGAAACTAACGCATGGCTGTGGCCTAGGTGCTGCCTTAACAGCGTGCTAAGCTTGCTTTTGTGCACTCGTACTAAGTTCAGACATAAAATACATGAAATCAAGGTTAATTTCCCACTGCCAGTTGGCTATGCATTTTTTAATAAAAAGGCTTGATGTTGCAAATTCAACTGTAAGAACTGTAACCGGAAGTCTAGGGTGGGATGGGAAAGTATTTCCCAGGCAAGTGTTGATTCTGGGACAGTTCCCTAGAATTGTAAAATGTACATAAAAAAACTTGTGAATTTTGGAGCTTGGCCAAATACTTCCTTCCCTGCCAGCAGAAACCCTGCTTTTGTCCTTGGGATAGAAATATTTCAGGATTTCTTACAAAGCTGCAACAGTAGTGAAAGGCAAAGCTGGTTTAACCTGACCTACACAAATCCAATGCTATGTTGGAGCCAGTCTTGAGACCAAAGATAAAAATAAATATAAATAAATTGCCTTTTTTTATCTGCATCYTTTGACCTACAAAAAAAGGTCACTATGAATGAAAGAAAGTGAAGACATAAAAAGCACATTAGCTTGCTAAAGAGCAATTCGAATGTGTCCATTTGCAAATTAGCTTGGGGAATTCAGGATGTTGATTTTTAATGGTCACTTAAGGATCATAAGGGCTATCATCTGATCTAATTTCCTCGCTCCCCTGTGGACCAGGAGAGGGGATTTGCTGGAAGATTTTTCTAAAAAACTAATATTGGAGTAGAGAAAACACTAGGAGGGAGCCTAGGAGTTCTAGGAGGGAGACTGAGTATTTATGTGCAAAGGGATTATCACTTTTTACAAGCAAAGGTTGTTTAATTTCTTTTGATCTTTGTTACGGGGGAGAAGTAACCCATTTTAACACTAATGGAACATGCATGATTCTGTAATAAATAAACGTGTAGAATAAATGTGTACAATAAATGTACAATCCTGCAATGTACAATATGTACAATAAATGTGACTGCAACTGAGGTCGATCCAGCATTTCCCTTATAATCTCTTCTCTGCCTGGTTCCACCAGTCACCAGCAGAATCAATGCTGAGTGGCAATTTAGGAATCAAGTAATCATCTGTCTTTCTCAAGAAAGGGTTTTCTGTTTAGGGTTAAGGTTTTGTTTTCGATGTCTGCAACCAAATTTGGGGCAGGGACAGAAGAAAGCTCATTAAACCAGCAGAGAAATAATGAAGTCACCTCCTCCTGCCTGCAGAGAATCCTGCCACATCAGGATGAGGCGACTTCGGGATTATCTACATGCCCCTAAGACACACGAGTCTGTATATTCCCAAACGTGAAGGTGAATTAATTATGTCTGATGAAAAAACTAAAAGAACCTCAAAATGCAGTGCATATTGTTTTATTTTTAATATTTCTTTTTCCGATCAAAATGGCAGAATCTTCCAGGTAAGCGGCCGTGGAAGCGACTTGGGAAGAAGGCACCCATAGGGCAGCCCATGGACAGGGCCGCAGGGCAGCCTTCCCAGAGGCTCGGGCCTCATTGTGCAGCTGCCTCTTTCTTCCTTTCATACAAATGCSGTTTCTTCTTCCTACCCTTCTGGCCGCAGAGATAACCTCCCCAGCACAAACCCGGYGCTATCGCCAGACTCTGGTGGGGCAGCGGCCCCACCAGAACAATAACTCCAGCAGAGGTGTGAACTTCCTCCCTTTGGCTTAA